TTTCTGACGAAGCACCGAAAAATCAATGTACAGAAAATAATAAGGATCTATCTTTTGAACACAAACAAAAAGCTTTCGAATTTTGGAGAAGTGGAAAAAAACGAAATTTAAATCTTGAAACTGTAAGAAATAGATTTAAAAGTCTCATCTGTAACTCAATTACGTCGTTAGGCTCATACAATAAACAAAGGTGGCACTTGTAAGGAAAAAATTGCTTGAATTTGTTAGTATACACTAGATAATTTTAAAGCTTTCCATGACAGTGGTCTAATGATTCATGACCTCGATATAAGGCGATGGGCGTTACGAACTCAAAAAGATATGGGTTTTGAAGATTTTAGATTCAAGACTTCTAAAACATGGTTGTTAAATTTTAAGCAGGCTCATAGAATAGTATCTAGAGAAAAAAATGAGTTTGTCACAAGAAAAACAATAGAAAGTACTTCAGAGCTTACGGCTAAAGCGGCATTCATTGCTGACATTAAATCATGTATATCAGGAATTGGATACAAAAATTTGTATAATTTGGATCAGAGTGGTTTCCACTTAAAAATGCATTCTAGAAGGACATTAGCCGTTGAAGGAGAACAACAAGTTTAATGTGTAGTACAACAAATTTCTGAAACAACGCACAGTTATACCATACAACTACTTATATCAGCTGATGGTCGACTACTCTCACCGCTTTTTTTAGTTTTAAAAGAACCAAGCGGTGGATTCGGCCTTATAGTAGAGAAAACGTTATTTAAACCAGAAAACATGTATTTGGAAGCATCAAAGTCTGGTAAATTAACAACAGGTAAGCCCACTCCAGTGATGTTTTGTTATTATATAAATTAGTTTGGTTCTTCGTCGTTTAATTGCAGAACACTTCAAAATTTGTTTGCAAAAAACAAAATATCCACACGTGGGATACCACTTAATATTATTACTCGAATCTTGGAGTGATCATTGTGATAACGCACTAGAGGAAACAATGCCACCAAATAAAATAGTTAACGTAAAAAAGATTCCAACTGGAAGCACGGGAAAAATTCAGCCACTTGATGTTTATAGATTTCGTGTCTGGAAGAACTATGTCCAGAAATTCTCTGATGACGTAGTTTTAAAAGATTATGATTTGAATTTATATGTTAGAAACAACATAATTAAACTTCTATGATTAGTCCACAACCAAACGTCTTCACCAAGATATAAAAATCTTTTTATATATTCCTGGCACAAAAGTAGTTATGTTAGTGAAAGACCAGATAAATTTGATAATTCTGTAGATATCAGCTTCGGAGAATCTTGTCAAATGCACTGTGAACTTGAAAGATGTGCTAACATTGCAATAATGCATTGTGGTTGGTGTAAAAAATCTTTGTGTTTTAAACACTTTTAGAAGGACTATCATTATTGTAAGAATTGCGTAGAATAATGCATTATGTGGTATAATTATTAGGAAATGTACAAATAAGAATACGTTGTACAACAAACCTTGCTGAAATGCAAAAATAAAAAATTTTATAACGTATTTAGCTTAGGTATAATTGTTAATGGACGAATTAAGAAAAGTCAAATTTTTTTCGATATTTCCACGCGCCTTCGTTGATCTGTCATTATGAATTTGGTACATTTGATAGCAGATTTGTAATCAGTGACCCGAAAAACGATCCTTTTTATAAAATTTTGACATGTCAACATTTATATAACCTCAAGGGTTGCTTCACTACTTGGGAATGATATTTCAGAGAATGCTGAAATACATTGAGTTCTTGTTTTGATATCATGTGTTGGAAATTCATCTCAGTTTTTAAAAATTACTGTTGATTTTAAAATCAATAAAATTATAGGTAGAAATGTGTTTTCAACCCTTAAAAAATAGGGGATGCAACTTTTGGTTCCAATTAATGTACACACCTACTGTAATACAATCGCAATTTTGTGAAATTGTTTCCACCTTTATTTAAAAAAAATTTAATTTTGAAGCCGAAATATTGAGCAAAACAGATGAAGGGCTGAAATTTGTGGGTGGATTACACCCCCTAAGAACGCTTATTAGCTAAAAAAGAAAAACACGTTTCTTATTTTTCCATTCTCTACAATATATCGAAATTTTATTAAAATCAGTGAGATAAACCAAAGGCCATCTTTTATTAGTGTTAGGGGCTGTTTACCCCTTTACAAAGGTTTTTTTACTAAAACTTGAAAACACGTCAACTTACTTTTTTAATTAAAAGTATAAGTACACCTTTTAAAATTTTTTTAGATCAATTCACGATTTTTTATATCAAAAAAACGTTACAAAGAACCATTCTCATCCTTCAAAAATAGGGATTGCAACCCCGTAGGGTCGAAATGCTTTTAAAACTTACATATTCGTAAAACATAAATTTTCTAATCTGTTTTGTTCCAAAATATTTCGTAGAACGAGAGTTACCTTCAAAAAACGATTTTTAGGGGTGAACTTTAAGGCTGGATTTCACTCCCTTAAAACGTTTATCAGCAGATAAAAAAACACGTGTATCTTATTTTTTTCTTCCCTACAACACATCAAAATTTCATCAAAGTTGGTGAGACATACCTGGGAACCCCTCCTTGTCAGAATATCATGAATAGTATAATAATTAAATTAATCTCAGCTTTTGAAACCACTTGCTCATTAATTCATAGAAATAACATCAATCAACACACTATACTCGATACTTTAAGCAGAATTACTTATTTTCGTGTGTATGTGTGCAAATTATATTGCACCCATACATGCATACGCACTTTCCTCGATACCAAGCAAGTTGAACCTACTGTTAAAATTCATATTCAGTGCCTCTGTTGTAGAGCATGGAGTGCATTCAAAGAACTAACAAGGAATAGTAGAAAAAAGAGAGGGAATCGTTTCATCCTTAATAGCTAGCTGAAACTCATCAGTGTAGAATACTTGCAATCTAGTCACAGACAAATACAACTAACACTTGTACTGATACGTATTATTACAACGAAGACAAGATTGACATAGTAAGTTGGAAAGCATAATAAGAGATATAATCCTTCTTCAGTAATATTATGTTTTTGTTTACAACTAGACAAAAAGATGCATTTCCGTACCTTTAAAATACCAGTACCTTTTACATTGTACTTCAATCATTTAAGAATTCTTAGTCGTGTACAATTACATAAGTCGTCTGATATACTTAAATTTCTTATTAACATTAATATTGTACAAATTTTCAGATTAAATTCAAAAGGGGATAAACCTTCACAAATGTTATTCAATATTTCTACTGGAAAATTTATACAAATTTTGCCTGACTTTCCAATGCCTTTACATGTTGCGTTATCTGGACTGTAATAAGTTTTAATATCTCCCGTTAATTTTTGAAGAATTTCATCATTCAAGAAACTGGTACACTTTTATGACATGAAATAGGTATGATACTATGAAAAAAAAAATTTTTGAAATCAACAAATGTTTTAGAACAAACGTCATTCAATATCTGTTTTTTAGTAAAGAAAGTTTCTATATCTTCTTCCCACATTTTTCATGATAAATTAAAAAAATTTCCGTTATTAGACGAAAACTTATTTGTCATTTTTAACTTCAGAGGGAACTCTACACATGCGATGGTTTTATAGTTTTCTTTTATAATAATACTTTCGTTACTTTTTTTGATGGCTAAGAGAGTTTGAGGAAAATCTCCTGAATTAATTACTTTGATAACGCTGTACTTGCGTTGTTCCGCGTTTTGTATGGAGCTATTCTGCTCCCAATATAAACGAGATATTGTATACATACTCTGTTTCATAATATATCTAATTACTACTTTGTAACAATATCGACATAATAAATGCGATAGTAATTTTATTACGTATGGTCTTAGCCAAGTACAGAATTTTATAACCTTTGTATAAAACATAAATACTCATTTCGACACGCAGTGCGAGGGGAACGAGATTATGAGCCACATTAGATGGCTCATGATCTCATTTCCCACGCACGTTGTGTCGAAAAATTGTGTAAACCATACGTGCCAGAGGTTAAGTGATTGACACACGCGTCAATCGCCTTCCTCACGCACTAGTATCGTAATGTACTATTGTTATGGCATATTGTTCATATGTGAAAAAAACAATGCTTTCAACAATTTAATAAAATAAGAAGAGAGACCTCTGTAAGATAGTTGTGTTAATGCTTGACAGTAATAAAAAGATCTTCAATGGCTTAGTGGTTATCGTGCTAGTCTCCTAACCAGAAATACTCGAGGGTCCATAGATTCGAATCTCTTCGAAAATTATCGAGATTTTTTTCTCAGTCGTTTCCGATGAGATTAGAACCCAGTATGGTAAAAAATCACACATTTGATTTTTAAAACTAATAGTCGCTTTTTCTGGTGATTTCTGAACCTCCAAGGACTTCGTTTTCAACGGAAAGTCAACACCTGGCCAGCTCATCGGGTAAAGTCACTGTCGTCTGAGGTAAACTTTGCAAGGGGCCCACACGAAAGTCCCAGAAATAAAATACCATACATAACCATAGTAGGGAAAAATGATTTTTACTCAGCGATTTTTTTAACCAGCAAGTAATACACTGCATTTTGTAACACAAGCTCTCATGAAGAATTATTTGTATCTTACTAATATATAAAGCAAAGTCGCTAAAACCGTTGTAATCGCTAACCGCGAAAACTACTGAACCGATTTTGCTGAAATTTTGCATACCGATTCCTGACACTTCCTAGATGGTTTTAGTATGGTTTTTATCTTGAAAAATTTAATAACAATAGCAATAAACAAGCTCAAAGCTTTGCAAAAATACGCCTGTTTTTCACTTTAGTTCAGTAGGATCCGCTAGGAGGTGTCGAGATAAAATTGAAGCCACCCGCAATCAATGATAGTGAAGAGTGGTTATAAGTTGCCCCGCCGAGACGATGATTTCCATAGTCGTTTTTCGGCAGTCCACTAAGAATAAAGGTGTTTGTCGTGAAGCTGGGCATCCTGGCTACCGCTGACACGCTTCGTTCATGGGCAAGCGAAATACATCGGCTTTTACCCCAAATTGCCAAGATAACCGAGCGCCACGGAAAAATAGGCGTTCGAAACATCCACGTCTCAGGCGAAATACCAGGATACGTCCGGCCAGAGCTCAACCTGCTTCACCAACACTACAAGGTTTGGAAGCTCTTCTTCCATCCAACCTGGTCCTAGAAGAGCAAGCCAAGCAGAACAACCATGAGGAGCGTGAGCAGACATATCGGCTGGAAGGTTTACCAGCCTCCTCCTGAAAAGTTGGTCGCGAGAGGAACTCCACGAAGAAGATATTCTTCAGGCCCACTACCCTGACTAACAGTCAGCAGATAGTGATCCGGGGAACGACCCGGAAACGAGATTTTGTTCGACCAGCTACATACCTTCCTCTAGCGCGTTCACCTTCTGCAGAGACTCCAAGGGCAAGGACGAAGCAACCTCGGGTCCAGATACCCGAGCTCCGCGATCCCCGTCGACTGAGCAGAGTTAAGCGGCAAATATTTGCCGTTCATCGAAAGCCTGATAAAGCATGTCAAATAATCGACCCTCACCAGCTCTCCATCGTTAGGAAAAAAAAAAAAAATGAAGATAAAAACCGGCCCTTTTCAGGGCCATCAATAAATTTTACCGTAAAGTAACTGCCTTCAATATCATCGGTCTTTTTAAGAGCCATTCAACGTTGAACTACTTTTCCAAAAAAACATATATATTTCTTAAGACTGCTATTTCAGAGTAATGTCTTACAGGTACATAAAGCTAATCAAGGATCTGCCCTTTGCTGGCATACATCGAGAGTAGAGCTGTTGGCGTGAGTCTGGGAACCCCGGCCACCGACGACTTTCTGCACTCGAATTACATAGGCCAGAAATTACTTTTCCTCCAAGATTAGCGTTCAGCTAACTTGGTGAATCTCATTGGCCCTTTTCAGAGCCATTAAACGTTGAACACCTGCCAAAGTATATATTGTAATTGACAAAGTATAACAAACACAGCACTTTTTAGGGCATGCAAAAATTTTTAACAATGCCTCGAATCGCAAGAGGGCGAATCGGGAGGAGAACTTGTAATGCTTTAAATGTTTATAACTTTAGGAGTCGAGAAACTGATGCAGAACATTCAGCGAGAGTAGAACAGCAACAGCAACATCGACGATTGAACAACCATTTAAGTGACAGATCCACTTTCTGTTACAATCCAGACATTGATTACTTAAATCTTCCATCAATCCAAATTGGCGGAATGGTTTCTATTTGCACTCATTGAGGCGCTAAAAAATGGAGAGATGAAGCTCCAGGGCTCTGTTGTTCTGGTGATAAAGTTTCCCTTGATCCACTGGAAAATCCTCCTGAATTGGTAAGATGTCTGTTAATGGACGAACACCCCTTATCAAAACATTTCCTTGATAACGTCAGACGTTACAATACGCAATTCCAAATGACATCATTTGGAGGGAAAGAAATTAGAGAAGGAAACTTTATGCCAACTTTCAAAATCCAAGGTCAAGTACACCACTTGATAGGTAGCTTACTTCCTGAACAGAAAAAGAGTCCGCAGTGCTTACAAATCTATTTCATGTCTAAAGCTGAACAAACTTCTATTCGGTCAGATAATGCCCTAAAAAAACTTTGATTGAATCATTACAAAAGGTGATGCATGATTGCAATCTTCTTATAAGAACTTTTAAATCCAACTATGACTCTCGAACAGTAGATGAACTTGAAAACTTAAAATTGATTATTTATGCCGATCGAACTCCTGTTGGGGAGCATTGAGGACGATACAATGCGCCTAGAGTGAATGAAGTTGCTGCACCAATAGTTAACGAGGAAAAAGGCCCTGGAGACATTATTTTACATGGTCGACATAGGCGGTTGGAGCGAGTTTCTGAGCTCCACCGATTCTATGACTCCTTGCAATATCTTCTTATGTTTGTTTATGGAGAAAATGGATATTCTATTGATGTACCACTTCACGGTGTTCCAAAAAAAAACTGTTTCTTCCATGCAGTTCTACTCTTATAGGTTTATGTTAAAAAATGATCATATAAATTACCTACTTTATTATAAGAACTTACTCAATCAATTTGTTGTTGATATGATGGCAAAAATGATCACAGAGCGTTTACTTTACTTGCGAACACATCAAAAACAACTGCGTGCTGAAAGTTACATTCATCTACGATATGCAATAAATAATAATCGTAACATTGAACCCTGGAGGCACTAGAAAAATATTCCTAATTAATCTTATGTTGGCCCAAGCAAGATCGGCTGGAAAACTGTCCCTTGCTGTTGCATCTTCTGGCATTGCTGCCACTCTCTTAAGTGGAGGTAGAACAGCTCACTCCACTTTTAAACTTCCATTATGTGTTTTTTCCGGAGAAGATTACACGTGCCCGATACGCAAAAATGGCCCACTTGCAAAAATTCTTCAAGATACAACATTTATTGTATGGGATGAGTGCACAATGAGTCACAGAGCTCACATTGAAGCAATTAATAGAACATTGCAAGATTTAAGATCAAACCAGAATTTAATGGGTGGCATTACATTTGTTTTTGCTGGTGATTTTAGGCAGACGTTACCAGTAATTCCGAGAGGAACTAGAGCTGATATTATTCATGCCTGTTCAAAATCATCATTTCTCTGGCATTATGTAGAGTCTCTTCATTTAAGTACTAATATGAGAGCACATCTCTGTGGAAGAAACACGGAATTTCCAACACAGCTATTAAAAATTGGCGATGGCACGATAGAAAATGAAAACGGTTTTATCACCTTAGATCAATCCATTGGAAAACTGGTTACAACTGTCGATAATCTTATTTCTGAAGTTTACCCAGACATTGAAAATTTATCAAACAAATCATACCAATGGTTATGTGAGAGAGCGATAATTTCACCGAGAAATTCTACAGCAGAGAAAATTAACAATATTATTCTTCAAACGTTTGTAGCTGATTCTCGAGAGTCCCTCTCCATTGATTCAGTCATCGCATCTGAAGATGTTGTTAATTATCCTCAGGAGTTTTTAAACTCCCTAACTCCATCAGGATTACCACCCCATAAGTTGAGTTTGAAAGTTGGAGCTCCGATTATGCTACTACGTAATCTTCAACCCCCAAACCTGTGTAATGAAACCAGACTGCAAATTAAAACTCTACGAAATAATGTTATAGAAGCTACTATTTTGACAGGTCCAGCATCAGGACAAATAGCTTTTATTCCAAGTATTCGGATGATACCAACTGATTTACCTTTTCAGTTCAAGCGATTACAGTTTCCTGTCAAACTTTCTTTTGCGATGACAATTAACAAGTCGCAAGGACAAACTTATAACTTTGTGGGGGTAGATTTACGTTCGAACTGCTTTTCACATGGACAATTGTATGTCGGGCTTTCAAGAACTGGTGATCCACATCATCAGATTGTTTTAATTCCTTCTGGAAATAAAACTGAAAATGTCACGTATACTGAAATTTTGTGAACGAAAAAATAATTTTAAATTAAATATTTGTATCTTTACAGCTTTAACAAGTAACCATTTGTTATATCATAACGTTAACACGTAAAAATCAACGGCCCTTTTCAGAGCCAATACCTATTTTATGACGTAAAGAAAGCACGATACTTTTTACCATCATTTTTTTGCTTTTTTCCACATTTTCAATAAGAAGTTATTTGTTCCAAAAAGTGTCAAAAATAGATGTGAAGTTTTTTAACTGAAAACGTCCTATATTATTTGTCAACACACATGTGTTTCATTCAGCGAGTCTCGGGCGAAGCCGAGACGAGGGGCTGCTAGTTTATTACAACAGAAAAATTATTACATCTACAAATTTAAATGATCATTTGAAGTTTACAGGTTTACCACCTTTATCTAGAAATAAAATTTGAATTGATGCATCCTATATACATTTTTTTTGAATGTCTACTGCCATAAATAAAAATTGTGAGAATATGCAAAGAAGAAAATACGATAAAGGATACAAGAGAACGAAAACATAGTCATATCAAAATGTGTACAGTACATTGTAAGAATTAGTACAACCCTTCCCTAATTATTCAGCTTTTGTTTTCATCACAGGCACGTCACGGCATCGTTGTTTTGATTATCTTTACGCGAGGTGTGCTTATAGTACTTGACATTCATTGATACATGTCTGCTATCAATACATCGTATTTGTACACCGTTAATCCTACACTACTCACAAAATTTTTTTAATAGTATAACGTGCAGCTCTTGAATATTTGTTAGTGTTGTTTGTTCGTTTAATGTAATATTTTGCTTCTTCAGTTTTATTTTACTGGTTGGTATGGTCTTAAGTTAAGATCACAACTATGGCGAGTGGCAACATGTATTCAACGTGCCAATACATTAACTGCAATAATCGATGTCATAACGGACACACTTTGTGGTGATTACTCTCAGATAAATTACAAAAAACTAAATGGATCACTAACCCAGGTATCTAAAAGTACCTAGTAATAATTATGCCAATAATTAACTTCTGTGCTCTGGTTGACAGAATATGATTAAAGGCTACTATGCTAGGACAGTATCTATGCACTAAATTTCCTTCCATTTTGATGAAATGACGGGTTGGCTACATTTATTTATTTAATAGTTTATGTAATGCTACTTATTTGTTTACTTATTGTTCTTGTGTGTCCGATTCTGATACTCCTAGTAAAATGTTATGACTGCCAAAATTTCCATCATTACATAATTTCTTACAATGTAAACACTTTTTTCTAATCCATTATCCACTATTTATTGTTAAAGTTCAATTTTTATAGACGTACCATATCGGAAGTTAACCTGTAAAATGAAAGACTTAGCAACTAGACAAACAGAAAATCCACTGAACCTCAAAATTAATATCCAGAGTCAATTTTTATTTTGTACGTAATTAAACTCGTAGATTACGCGAAAAACAGTTTTAAAAATCCAAGCTTTTTTGAATACTGTAAAAATGGCTTTAAAAAGTTATTTTGCTGATATCTCATTAAAGATAAGGGACTGGATAAAAATAGAATTACCAGTCAGTGTAGCCAGATCGGTTAACTCTAAAGTCGTCATCTACTACCAGAAACTCGCCACAAGTCACCAATAGTAATTGATGAAATCACCGAAAATATCGCCACTTACAAAAATTGTTTGAAAAAAAAAAAAATGTTAAAAATGCTAAACTTTAATAAAAGTTATGTAAGAACGGAATTTTTACTTATCTAAAGCAATCACTGAAACAATAATCAATAGCTCTACTGTATAATAAAAGGGAAATAAAACATCTTATAAGCTATGTATACTATAAAAACATTTTATAGTATATTTTATAGTAGAGCAGCTGTCTAGTAAACAGGAGATTGTGTGTTCGATCCGCACATGAAGGATGTTTTTCTCATTCTTATTTATTTCTTATGAAAATTTTCTTGAAAAAGAAACTATGTCGTTTAGTATTATAAGTCTTAAGTATATTGGATATTAAAAAAGAGGGCATGTATGGAGGATATAGTGTGCTTCTATTAAAAGTGCCGCCATCTATGCATATGCACCTCTTGATACAATAATTTGGATTTATCAACATTCACTTGTATACTATTGGTCGTATGAATTTATAAAAACTTTATTTATTTTTTTTCATTTAGCTAATCTTAGGTACAAAAGATTGTAATTCGATAGCATTACTTGAAGATTTAGATTAGTGTAAATCAGTCAGAAATACTTAGGCATGAAACGTTATAATCATCTAAGACTTCTATGATTGCATTTAGCTCATCAATACTGTCTCTATTCTCTTTAGAAGCGTCATTCTTATTGTATACTATTTTATAACTAAAATCTTTTAGCATCTGATCTGACGGCTTAAAAGTGTTGCAACATGTTTTATTTGCGTAAAACCTCATTTAAATTCGTAAAGTTGTACTTAACGTAACTAGAAGCATTATATTGCCTAATTTTAATTTTATACAGTTCATAATTAAAAATACCCTTTTAATAGTAGCATTACTAGATGAAAGACATAGTAATTTGAGGGCAAAACCGGCAATTTACCTAAAAATAAATTTTCTGCTAGCGTTTTTAAAAAAATACCTTTGGCCAAACCACATACACGTCGTTTAGAGCTTCTTTGACAGCATAATTATTCCAGTCCACTCTTAGTAATTTTTCCTATTGATTTTCAATTAGACTAAGATCTGTAGGCTTAGTATTTAAAATGCCAAAGAAGGGTAAGCTACTAAAATCAGTTCTTTCAGACTGTGATAAACATATTAAAGGATTTAAAAACTTTACTTTTTTGTAAAATTTTAAATTTTCTGGCAGGTGTTTAACTATTGCAGTACTCAATAACTTAACTTAACATAGTACTAGCGACACTGTCTCACGTAAAACTACATAAAGTGGCAAGTTTTGAAAAAAGTGAGAGAAGGCCAGCCAAGAATGATAGCCAACACCACTAGCTTTTCTAGCCTTACAATTAGCGGTACTGCTATGTTGTCAATCTCAATAAGAAAGAAAAATAGAGATATGACAAAGAGTTCTGTTGTGAAAAATTTTCACGTTTAGGTGCATAAGTGACTTATGCTGACAGCCACCAAAATCGCCAACAAAAATTGCCGTCACCACAAAACAAAACAAAAATCGCTGAGCCGAGGTCAAAATCGCCAGTAGTAACCCCACTGTTACCAGTGTGTAGAGAGACAAATTTCCTTTTGATAAGGTTTCTTACTTTTGTTCGGACCAGCACAAAATTTTAAGATAACAATTAATAAAGGTATTTTGTCCGATACCATGAAAGTGAGTAAGACAGAGAGCATGGGTCTGTGTGACACCAACAATCGTTGACGACTGGCAATATAAATATAGGTATAGATTTACATGGCTGTTACGTGCAGCTTCTTCTTGACGCTATTCCTGTCTCACTCACTCTTATGGCATCAGACAAAATACCTTTATTATTTGTTATCTTAAAATTTTGTGCTAGTCCAAACAAAAGTGAAAGACCTAATCAAAAGGAAATTTATCACTCTGCACACTGTTATTTTTACTTTCATCCAGTCTTTTACCGTTCATGAGATGTAAGCAACATAAGTTTTCAACACCATTTTTTTAGTAGCTCAAGAAACTTTGAATTTTTAACTTTTTTTCGTGGAATATATGAGTTGGAATACATAAAATATCAAAAACGACCTATTGTATACTAATTTTGGAGTTTAGTGGATTGTCTATTCATTTTAACTTAGGGTAGGGTGGGGAAATCGTAGTATTTTTTCACAGCCTGATTTTTTAAACACTATTACTCTTAATTTATTTCCTTTATGATACTAAAAAAAAAATATGAATAATATCTAAATAACTTACGAACAATTGAAAAAATATTTTATCCTGACACCAGCACTTAAACATAAAAAAAAAAAAATTTAAACCAAAGTTACTGCCAGGTTAGAAAAAGTGGGACAATCGGAGTGGTTTGCGTGGGGCATTCGGACAGTTTTACAACTGATTCTTTTTTTATATTTTTTTTAATAACTTGACATGAAGAAATCGCGTGACTTTCTTGGTTACTGAATGACAAATAGTTTCGTAAATAAATAATACAGACGCAGTTTTTATAATTAAGAAACAAGTTGTATCTCATTATGGCTACATTTTCATTGTTGAGGTTAGGTAGACAAAACAAACGTTCAGAAACCACTCCGATTGGCTCACGAAAATCGCTCTGATTGTCCCTTTTTTTAAATCATAAATTTAAAAAAAGTTTGTTTAGATTTTTATTTAAATTTTTTATGAACATTAAGCGAATATATTATATTTTATACTTCACGTATAAAGTATTTAGATTTTCTAAAATATTTTTTATGTGATAAAACTGATGTAAAACCGTTTTTTTTTTACTATAAGGTGACAATACATTTTAAATTGTTTCTATTTGAAAAATATGGTTTTTGTTGTTATATTCAAATGAAAAAAAATGCGTTAGAGTCAAGACTTTAAAAAATACTTTTCTCTTACCATTGCATAAATTTACAAAAAAATATTAGGAAAAGCCTCAATTACCCCGCTGCTCCGATTGCCCCACCCTACCCTACCTTAAAACATACCTGGCAACCGAACTGACCCAGACATAAACAGACGAGTACATCATCGCACGAATTCCCCACTCATTCAGCTTTACCCGTCAAGTCTATGGTCCCCACTAAAAATAGTACCGTTCAGATTTCTCAATATTGCTTTTAACGGCAAAAAATGGTGCTACTTTTTGTCGAGACCATCGAAGTGCCTTCATGTATAAATATGCATATGCATGGACATAAGATGCTGACATTGATGATACTTTAATTACATTGCGATTAATCTCTCTCTAACTTTCTTTCACTGCTGCCGGCTGCTGCCTTCAAAAATACGGCAGTAATAATGTTCAGATAATAGAAATCTGGGACCATTTGTTTGTTTCACAATTTATAAGAAATTGGGAAATTTTTTTTGTTTTTCTTCATATTTCCGCTTCTATCAATGCTAGAGACAATTTGCGATCG